AAAGTATATCAAAACTCAAAATATGTCATTTCCATACCTAAAATACATATTTTACAGTCACTGTTATGCAGATTGATCATAAATCTAGCTAAAAGGCTTCCTACCAGTGGCCCTCCTTCACAAAACTTAACATCTAGCACAGTTTTATCATAAGGGCCGTAGGGGCCGTAGCTGGGGTTTGTGAGGCCCCGGTGCAGGTTGTACCCATGGGCCCTGTTTGAAATAGCACAAATAGCACAAATAAATAAATAGAACAAAGATAGAAATTAAACAATGTTAACCAGTTTGTAGGCCTAGGTGTCCAGGTACAGAAACCCAATTATCAAATGTAAAATATCATTGCATAGTCTTCACTGTATAATTTTAAATATAGATGAATTCTTATTAAAACTACAAAGTAATTCAGTAAAGAGCAGTGAGTGATTTTCTCTATTTTAATTTTTTGGATTAACATTAAGGACACCGACAGCAGCTATATACGTAACATTTGGTAACACTTTATTTTAAGGTGTCTTTGTTACACGTTACATGTACTTACTTTTATAATAACAATTAATTATGCACAATTACATGCAAGTAACCCTAAGCCAAACCCTAGACGGTACACCTTCTTCGATAACGATAGAAAAAATGTTCGATATAGCGCCCAATATAGGCACGTGCTATGAGTGATGCAGACAGCACACACAAACACGAACATGAGGGCTGTGCCTGCCTGTGATGACGAGATTGTGAGTAAAGAATGAATATAAGTCGAATTTAAAATAAACATTTGCATTTGAATGCAAAAATAGTACAATCAAATGTTAGGTGTGTGTCAGGGAGCGTCATCAGTGGAGCACGAGATGCGGTGATGATGCTGTATGTGACGTTGATGCATTTTAATGTTTTGTTAGTCTAGCCCACGAGACGTGCAGTTGCTGCATTATTCATTCAAAATATTAGAGAAATATAGTAGCTCAATGCGTAGAAAATGGTGAATAGGTTAAAACTGAAACCAAGCCATTCACACAGAACGCAAATTCAGCACATTTTTTTAGACGGACAAATATGACTGTTGCACTCGCGTCTCACCATGCAAAGTTAAAAGTTTAAACTTTTAGAAAACACGTCACAAATTTATGGATGTTTATTCCTTTTCACTGCGTCTCATATGTTTTTAAAGGCTGTGTTTGACTGTTAAAACAAAAAATATTTGTTGTTTGTCTCAATAAATTGGGTTAATTTAAAAATACAGTGGTTAAATTAAAAAAAAAATTCTATTGCTCTTTGTTTTAAAAAAGGTTATAAAAAATTTCAATAATTATCTATGCCAAACGATATGAAACATTATATCGTTGATACATTTTTTAGCTATATCGCCCAGCCCTAAAATCAACCCATGGCAACAGTTTAAAAGTAGCCCAATTCCATGGAAAAAAACGCAGACTTCCCTGCATCCAGCACGAGCTGCAGGAGTCAGATTTGACTGATCACGGAATGAGAGGAGAGATGACTGACAGACCATGCTGGAGGATTTGCTGCTCAACAGATCCTGAGCTCATTGCCAAATATCTGATCTTCCTTTACACAGAGTGCGCGTGATTGCAAGTGAAAGTGAACAGCGAGTGCTCATTCAAAAGAGATTTAAATACTCCGCATATTGATAGTGGCTCCCTGATGCGCGAAAATTATATGTAATATTAGAATGTTTGCGGGAGCACTGGACACAAAAAATCATGGGAGCGGGCGATAATGGTCAGAAATTCAGCGGGAACGGTATTAAGAAAACAGTCCCTCGCAGGGCTTTAATAAAAAAACGCACACAATGAATGGCAACAATAGAAAGCCGAATCCCGGACATTTTGGGTGATTTAGAAATCCCGGCCGGACGCATTTTTTTAGGTCCAAAAAGAGGACATGTCCGGGAAAAAGAGGACATATGGTCACCCTATGTAAGAGCAGCAAAAGTTACTGAAGATGACATACATGATTCTTCTGGTCTCTCCAGAGAAGGCGATGGGTGCTGAGAAGAACGACTCCTACATCAAGTTTAGCCTGTCAATATGGAAACAGGATAATATGGAGCATTATTATACACACTATCTATTCAAGTGATGCATAACTCATTATTATATTTTGTATTACCCCATTTCTAATTCTACAATTTCTTTCCAACAGCATTAAATAACGTCATCTAAAATATACATGTGTTTAGCTGTAATGTTTACATCATTGTCAGGTCAGTATTTTCCACATGGTTGTAATTTCATAACTTTCAGTTGAATCCACACTATCTACGAATAAATACCTTGTCTTCCCCATCGTAAAGTCTCACTCCTCTTTGCTGAATTACTAACGTTTCGTTCATCTCAAGTAGCCCATTTGCCCAAACAAACCTGTCCATTTTTAACAAAATAATAAAAAATAAATAACAGAACTAGGGCATATTAAACGTGAAGCTGTTTACTTCCGCCTAGGTGTCCGGGAACGCGCCTGTTTGAAAAATACGAAAATCCATTCAGAACTTCACTCTCCCCGCATTGCTTTTAATGTGTGTTATAGAAAGTCATAGAAATGAACTTAATAGTATCCATTTTATTTAAATGTCCCCCATTTATGAGAATTTGAAACCTACCTAATTTGTTTGTTATCTTTAAAAAGAATTGTCAGTATTTATGACAACTCGAAAACCTTAATATAAGTTAGTATTTGAATAATAAATTATAAATAGTTTAGAAAAATGCCATTTATTTCAAGATATAATGTCAACTTCTCTTGAGGCGTATTTAGAAACAGACTCTTTCATGTCGGGGTCCTGACAAAGGAAGTCGCACACGAACTGCAGTCTTTGGCATCTTTGCTAAACCCCAACAAACAGCGACGATATATCAAAATAAACAAAACTACCGCGTGAACTATGATCTTCAGTCACTTCAGCGAAATTTGTAATTGTGCAAACACGATAAAAGACATGCATATATGTGAAGAATTGTGCATTTGAGGAGTGTGCTGATTTAGCACTGGACTATTGTTATTCCTCATGTCATGATGCCAGCCTGAACTTAAAGAGACCGCTAGCCTTCTGTTGTACCTGCTGAACCTCTCCGAAATGATTCTGGCTTCACTAAAAGGATAGATCATATGCAAAAAATTGGATGAATTCAAACATTGATGCTGTGAATAAACATAACAAGACTACTACATCAGCAGAAGTATCCCATCAGCAGGTGAATGAAGGGTCGTCATTGAGATGCTATAGGAGGAATTGATAATCAATACAGTGATCAGAGCATCGACAGAGAAGATGGACAAGAAATCCTTTGATATCGTCTTGGACGAAATTAGAAAGGTATCATTTATATTTGCTGCATAATACAGGTTGTCTGTTCTGGAAATCAGTTTGGTTGATTATGGTTATTAAATAAGCAACAGAGGATAATATTAATACTGTAATTCTTGTTTGTTCTGAAGTGTGTTTTGACAGATCAGCGAATCAAAGCTATAGAGCAGGTTCATGGGTATTTCTCCAGTGAACAGGTATGCTGATATACTTACAGTAGAGAACTGTAATTCTGCGGTTATCTTGCAACTACTTACCTGTCAAACTTCCTTCCTCAGGTGATTGACATTTTGAAATACTTCTCCTGGGCAGAGCCACAAGTAAAGGCAGTCAAAGCCCTGCAGCATGTAAGAATTCTGTTTCTTATTGATTTTATTCATCTACAGTCTTGTTAGTTGAGTGAAATGACTTAATTTAACTGCATAACATGTTTTTTTCCTCCAGAAAATGGTTGCAATTCCAACAACGAAGGTTGCAAACATCCTTAATTGTTTCACATTCTCAAAGGACAGAATTATTGTACTAGAGCTCATAGCTCTGTAAGTTACGCTCTACAGAAATTATGCACATCAGCAAATATCCAAACAAATTGAATATAATGCGACAAAGCAATATGTAATGTATACTTTACAGAAATATTTCTGATGCCCAAAATTACCGTCCCGTGGAGGATGCGTTCCGTACTCACCTCGCTGAGAGGAAGCGTGCAAGAAGAATCTTAGAGCAGGTCAAACTTACTCGTTCATGTGAATTTACAAACTACATCATGGCCAAGTGTAGGCTATATTGAATGAATGAGGATTTAAATGCAGTACATGTCTGTAATTTGTTTAGGTGTGTAAGGTGGGATGTAAAGCTCCAGTGGCGATGATTTCATCCTGTGGGATGATCCCAGGCAACCCTTACCCCAAAGGCAAACCCAGCCAGGTCACTGGAACATTCCCTGTAAGTTCCTTCACTTAATAAATATATTAAATACCTTGTAAATGCATATTGTTTCGTTTAGTTCTTTAAAATTAATTGTGGCTTTTATTGGAACTTTTAAGGGATTGCCTGCCAAAAAGGATGGAGACGATGCAACCCTGGATGGAAAGGGCATTGCTGCACGCATCCTTGGACCAAGCAAACCGGTATGTTTTAATGGACCGGTGCTACTGCCCAAACATATTTGTTCTTCGAATGTTTCTGATAGTTCATTAGTGGCTAAGAATTCCATCATGTGATCTTGAATAGTGAACAAATTTCTTATTACATCCATTTCTCTCTTTTTCCGCAAGTCACCATCAACGTACAATCCACACAGACCTGTGCCATACCCTATCCCGCCATGTAGGCCACATGCAACCATCGCTCCAAGTAAGACCCTTTTCCTTCAGATTAGAATAAAATGATCAAGAATAAATTGTATGGGTAATAATCTTCCTAATGTACAAGAAACAGTAGACCATGCATATGCCAGGATGCAGAATGTTCTTACCCTCTTCTCCGGATGCTGCCTAGGTGCGTACAACAACGCAGGTCTGGTGTCAGTGGGTGGGGTCATCACTGCCAGTGTGCCACCCCCACCCTACCGAGCCACTCCCAATTTGGCAGGTACAACGTGCAGTTGCTAGCGCTGTGTGCTGCCTTTAACAGCTGTGACTGCAATGCTGTCTGTAGACGCTACCTCACTACAGCATGCTCTAAATCTGCCTGCAGCACCTATAGCATGCAATTTGATCATGCTTAAAACTCTCTCCGGGGTTTCTTTACTTATCTAATATGGTCATTTCCGTATGCCACGACTGATTATAGAGAGCACAAATTCTAAAATGTGTATTATATTGGATTTTCCAGAGTCTATGTGTGAATGTAATGTTCTAAAAAAAGTTGTTACTTTAAGGCACTTGCAATAGAAGTAAACTACACTAATCACTTTCAAGTTTGAGAGCACAAATGTGCAAAAATTTTATTTTTAATTGTTAGACTAATGTTTTAGACTTGACTTAGTAAAATGCCTAAAATCGACATTAGAATTTTTCTTATTGTGAAAGGTTCTTATGTATCTTGGCATAAATGTTTGAAAGTCTCATATTAACACACATAATATTTAAGCCTTGTTGGCATTACCTTAAATAGTTTAAATCATTGTAAGTGTCTCACTGCATCCAAGATGTTTGCTTGTTTTTTTTCACAAACCTAGGGGACAAGTTGAAATTTTCTATTGAACCCAGAAAATTCTATAATATAGGTCTGCAACAATTTTGCCTAATTAATTTTATCACAAGGGGGCGCTATGTCATATATTGTCAGTCCATGTTTAGATCGTGAATGCTTGCTCTGCTGCATTGTGCATCTTAAGGTGCAGCTAGAGGATTGGGAGATTTCCTGAATTCTCTCTCGCTTTCTTTCTAATGCGCCTTTAAAATCCAACATTAATAAACTTAAATGCATGTGATACCTTTGTCTTTCCCATTTCATAGAGCTTTCTTCTTTTTAATATTTCATTGTTCTTCTTGTTTCATATTTTCAGGTTACAGCCGACCTGTCAGTCAACAAAATCCAACCGCCTACATCTCCGGCACACCTGCTATCTCTCCTCATAACTCCACCGCATCTACTCCTGTCACCTCCCAGCCTCACCCTACCACACCAATCACTCCGGTTTTTCCTGGCATGGTCCCATCCCAAAACCCTGGAACCCCCTCCCCTACTCCTGCCCCCTCACCCTCAGTCATCAAAGGGCCTCCTCTCACAGCTGGCTCTCCCCAAGTTGCCTCAAACTCCAGTGGCCACACCACACCAGTTCCTTCTCCGTTCCCTGGCATGCCCCCTTCTGGTCGAAACACCCCTTCCGTTATCAAAAGTCATACCCCATCTGGAACACCCTGTGGAACACCCGGGCCAAGTACAAGCATCCCTCTTTCTCCCTTCCACGGTGTGCCCCGCTCAGAAACACCTTCTGGTGGACTCACATCTACTCCCGGGGCAACTGGTGACCCCTTGACTCCTCATGGAGCTATGGGATTACACTCAATGAAGGGTTACCCTCCTTCCTCAGATTCCCAGTTAGCACTTTCACTCCCTGGCGCTCCCTCTACCCAGTCACATTCGGTTATCCGTAGTTACACACCCTCAGGGATGTCCTCTCTCACTCCTGGACGCTCTACTCCCAACATGCAAGGTGTTGGTGGATTGCCAGTGCCGCCTGCGGCTCCAAGTCCTAAGCCCTTTCCTGGACTGACCTCCCAGGCAGCCATGAGTAGCCCTGCTTTGTTTAGCGAGCAAATTGCCAGCTCCATGGCCCGGCACGGCGGAGGTAGTGGAAGCAACAGTCCTGTTCCTGCCGCTTTCAAAGGTCCCTCCCGCTCGGGCACCCCTTCTCTTAGCTCTCTAGTAATGCCTAACTCTACTGTTCTTGCCCGACCCATGGGCATGGCCCATGGTTCTACCTCGCCACAATCTTCTTTACCCAGCACTGCTGGTGTAGCTGAACTCCACAGTCTTTACTCAGCTCTGGGCTCTCAATCTGGAAGCAGCCCTACTCCTCATTTTCCAGCAATGTCTCCTTTCCCTGGAACCCAGTCCTCCATTTCCGCCCCATCCACTCCTACTCCTCCAGTCTCATCTGTATATTCTGGCCTGGCTCACTCAAGCGCTTCCACACCCTCCCCCTTTGGCCTGGGATTGACCACAGCTCCCTCCGTGTTCCCGGGTCTTCCTCCTGGCCCAAACCCTGCTTTCCCAGGTTTTGGAGGCTCAGGGCCCACTGCAGCAGGTAGTCCAGTGCTGTCCTCCTTAATGGGGCTTTCAGGAGCCGCTTCCTCAGTAGCCACTGTTGCACCTCTCCAGGCAGCAGCAGTCGCAGCAGCTGCCGCAGCAGGAGCTCCCTCCTCTTCTCCTGTGCTTCCTGGATTCGCCTCTGCATTCAGCTCTAACTTCAACCCTGCCCTTGCTGGCCAGGCTGGGTAAATTTTTTCTATTTAATTATGTCGCATGACTTTATGAAGTATTAACAAGTAGCGAAGTTTGATTGTACTATTCTAGGGTTGATTTAGGGCAGGGGTAGCAAACCCTGCTCCTGGAGGACTACATTCCTGCAGACACAACACAAGGGCTTCTCTAAAATATAGGAAGCATAATTATGCTTGATTATTTTTAAGTTGATTATGTGTATATTTAATTTAATATTGAAAAAAGTATCAATAACTATAGTTCAGTCGAATCACTAATGGACTGTTTTATCCACTGCTTGTGTATTATGTATTGTATGCGTATTTAATTACTGTACTGAAAACCTATTGGAATTAAACGAGTATAAAGTAACTTTTGAAGTTTTGTCTTGGGATTCTGCCTTAGAAGGGCTATGTAGGTAGTAGTCAGCAAGGCAGGTCACTAACATTTTCCGGTTTAAATGCTCTGCAAAGTCTAAAGTCTATGTTTTCTGTTCTTCATTTTATCAGAGTGATATGTGCTCCTTGAAAATACTGGAAAAACTGTCATAGTTGTCAAATGTAAACCATAGCCACAAAAAATATTTTATGGTCATATGGTTGATTAACTTGAAGTTTAGATACCAAGTCTGTCAGCAAAATATAACAAGTGAATTATTGCTGTCAAGAAGCGTAATTATAGTGAGCGATAGCTTTTCAGATAGCACGCTTGCTTTGAATTTAGTATTACAGATTATTGTGCAACTAAGTAAACAAGTGCATTCTATTTGTGTTAGTAAGATAATCATTAGAACTGCATTATTAATAGGCCTATGCAATGTTGCTTAATGTGTTACTCAGGCTAAGTGGTAGTCTCCAGGCCCCTGGAGGTACAGCTTTCCCAGGGCTGCTGTCTTTCCCCCCCGGGATGCCCAGCTTCTCCACGACAGCATCTCCTGCTGCCCTCTCTGGTCTTCACAACTCCGGCATGCAATCTGCTCTTTTGCAGGTAGGGCAGTGCAATTAATCGAAATTCAGTTTCGATTTCGGACTCCAACGATTATGAAAATATAATAATCAAGATAAAATGATTATTGCGGCCCATTACGTCCCCTTTCCAGCAGTGCGCTTTCACTCGTCCATAAAAGCCCATTTTCACGTGCAAATCAGTAAAATCATGTAACGTGACTTTTGGAAAATGGGACGTGCTTGAGTTATTAAAGTTGATTAGATTTATTAATGTTTTTAAAAGCGCTCCGAGAACTTGTGCTGTTCCTCAGGAGGCTTGCACTCAGAGACGAAACAGAACAGGGACATCTAAAGTCATCTATTAGCTGAACGTAAGCGCCTAAACCAGGGGTGTCAAACTCCGTTCCTGGAGGGCCGCAGCCCTGCAGAGTTTAGTTCCAACCCTGCTCCAACACACATACCATGTAGTTTTCAAATAAGTCTAAAGAACCTGATTAGCTGGATCAGGTGTGTTTAATTAGGGTTGGAGCTAAACTCTGCAGGGCTTGCGACCCTCTAGGAATTGAGTTTGACACCCCTGGCCTAAACAGTCAAATACACGCAAAAATGTGTCAAAATGTGGCGCTTAGTGATTATTCACGTAAACCCTCGTCGGTTATGTAATAAATGAATGTTAACAGATGAACGTGACTTTTGCAAAATGGGACGTGCTTGATTTATAGAAGTATATTTATTCATGTTTTTAAAAGCGTGAAAGAGAGCTTGCACTGCTCCACAGGAAGATATATACGCTCAGAGATGGAACAGAACACGGCAATGGAAAGTCATCTTTTAGCTCAAGGTGCACGCCTAAATGGTCAAATACACGCAAAAATGTGTCAAAATGTGGCGCTTAGTGATTATTCACGTAAACCCTCGTCGGTTATGTAATAAATGAATGTTAACAGATGAAAATGAAAATACGTGTGTAACAGTAAATTGGATCCGTGCGGCTCTTAAAGTGACAGCGGGCAATATATTCTTGCTGCCGACCGTGGGCTTAATATTACTCAAACAACAAAAGACAAAGACAAATCACTTACTGTTCTTCACAGAAGTTCTTTTGTAGCTTTAATAAGAAACAAAGGAAGTTTAATTATTACAGTGAAGACTGCCGTTTTATTTTACATTTGATTATTCAATTTCTATAGGCTGTTAACTGATTGCTTTAGACTTGGATTAAATGTATTTATTTTTGTTATATGGCCCACTAATAATCGTGTTAAATAATCGTGATTACAGTATTGACCAAAATAATCGTGATTATGATTTTTGTCATAATTGAGCAGCTTTATTTGCCGGTAGGCATGGGCTGATTACCGGTTTCAAGGTATACTGAAAATGTCACGTTTCAAAACCGCTAATATTTTCCGTTATACCGTTTGTGCGGTATGCACTGTTTTTCATGTCTCCACGTTCAAAACTGAGGCGATTTCACTCCAGCGCTTCTCTTTCTCCTTACGGTTGTGATACGTTTTCGATACATTATACAGACAGTCGTGTTACTACAAAACATCAAGATGCAGTTTCCTCCGTCTCCACTATCCAATGACCCACTAATAATCGTATCAAATAACCGTGATTACAAGACTGACCAAAATAATCGTGATTATGATTTTTGTCATAATTGAGCAGCTTTATTTGCCGGTAGGCATGGGCTGATTACCGGTTTCAAGGTATACTGAAAATGTCACGTTTCAAAACCGCTAATATTTTCCGTTATACCGTTTGAAGATTCGATCGGTGAACGCCTCGCATTACCAGATAATCCGCACCAAACATCGGAGCCAATCGAGGGGCTCGACAAGATTTTTGCTCCTTACTTAATTTTAAGCGGTTTCTATAGCGTGATCTTAATGACAAATGTCGAGAGCGCATAATGTTATGCGATCCATGTAATGCGTGAGCAAGAATCTCACCGCAAGAATCCGCAAGCGGATTTCCTTCACTCAGACAAAACTGGACATGTGCTTTTAACTATACACCGCCGTATCTGGTGTTCCAGAAGCACCTCCTGCTGTCAGAGAGTGACTCTGCATCTCATTCAGAGCTTCTGCCGTTTGCTTCGTTCAGTCATGTAGTATAATTTCACAAAGCTAGTCTAAATAAAGATGTCAGTCTTTATTTTTCTTTTTAGGAAACAAATCAAAGAAAAAATAAACAAATTCTACTGTTCCTAATATTCTGTATATTGCTCAAAAACAAAATATATTGTGTTCAGTGGAAAAAAGTTTTTTTTTTTTACCCAGTCATTTAAAAATAACACATTTTAGAGCTGTAACGACAATACCGTGATACCGCGAAACCGTGATATTGTTGCTTAAGGTTATCATACCGTCAAAATCGCATACTGGCCCATGCCTATTTGCAGGTATCTATATATTGATCGGAGGTTGTGGCTCTTTGTTTGATCATTAAAGGGCCACTGGATGTTGTTATTATTATGCCTGCTATTATGATAACGAGCAAAATATTTTAGAAGAATTTGCTACTCTATGCAAATGTTTGTTTTGTGTGTGTGATTGCAGGCTCACTCTGCATCAGCGCTCGACAGTTACCCTCCCCAGCCGAATGGATTCACGAACTACCCTGCAGCCGCTGGCTCGAGCTTCCCTCTGCAGCCAGGCCTGCATCCGCCACTGGGCTGGCAGTAACTCATTGTGAGTTACAGAGGGCAGGCATATCGAAAACTATGCGACCTAGTGTGTGCAGTGTGCATAAACAATGATGAACATTGTGGACTGTGGTGCTCCGCATGGAAAAAGGTGTGTCATAACGCAATTATGGGTAAATTCAAAAACTTATGTGGCAGCTCTACTCTCCAATAATTTCCTGTAGAAGATACTCACGTCTCAAATCAAGACAAGCTTGTGGTTTAGAGCTCTGCAGTAGTAGAACAGACTTTTGAGGGCTGTGCTGGACTGTTTGTTATATGTATTTGAATGAAATTAATACTATTCTTTAGTATTATTTTTTTGGTTTGTAGTAGGGCTTAACTCTGTTTAAGCATCATCATTTTAAAAATGAATACTAAAATGAATTTTAAATATACACCAGTAGAGGAAATGTGAATAGCGTGGGTGTCTAAATTTTACTAAACTGTTTTCCCTGTATCATGAAAGTAGTGAGTTAACTGACATTTTCTTCAAATGTCTGTCAAATACTGTACATGTAAATACCCTGTGAGAATGGGTAAATTAGGTGTTTGCTCTTTGTACTGTAGCTGTTCTGTTTTTTCCCCCTTTATTTTCCTAAGTTACCTTGCAAATTTTAAAGGAGTTGCTTTGCAAATTGACTTGAGTGTTACAAATGTTACAGTTGTGCAATTTTGCTGATATTAAGGTCAGAACCATGAATTTTGCATGTATACAATGTGTAGATCTCAGAGTCTACGATAATCATATTTGTGTTCATTATATATTATAAAATATAATAAAGAATATGTTAGGTTTAGTTTAGTATGTTCTAACAGCATCATGAAATAAAAGTTCTTTTCTTAGATTCTCTTGCTGTTTGTTTTTATTCAGAATTTTTTGGTTAGCAGTGAATATGTCACTTCACCTTTCACCTTTTCAGGACTTTCCAGAATGACCCCAAAACCCACAGCAGTTTTCTAAAATGTCACTACAGACAAACAAAACCAAATTCAAAATGTTTTGCTACCAGAATTCCATTGATGCCAGATTAATTATAAAATATTATGGGAATTAGTAATTTGCAAATTGGTTTTTAGATGGCTGTTAATGTTTTTGTTTGTTTTTTTTAATCGAAAAGTGATATTAATTTACTATACACGTTAAAAGGAAGTTTGTGTTGTATTACTGATTTACCCTTTTTGATTATTAGAGAAAACCTGGCAAAGTCCATATTGAGGTCTTTGCTGGTTAACTTTTTTGGAGAACTGTAATATTACAGATTATTTTTGATGTTGATTTACCCTGCCCATACGTTTGGTCACGAGTGAAATAACCACTTTAATCTTTTTCACATCATGAATCACGAGACTCCTGCAATTACTAGTTTCCACTTGACCCTTTGTTCACTTACTTGACATTATGCAATACTACCTATGAGTTCCTGCATGTAAGCCATGAATGAAATGGATGGTTTATTAGTTTTACTAAGAGTAAAACAAGAACATGTTTTTAAAAACTAGTTGGAAAAAGGCATTCAAATCTGTATAGCGGAAGCACACTGGCTAGCTGAAGAATAAAGCATCTTTGCCTAAAGCAAACACAGCGTATGTGTTTCAGAGAAATCGCAATCATCATAACTGCTTCATTAATAAACATCAGCCTCATATTGCACAATGGACTGTGTCATAAGACCATTAGAGTCTGTAAATGATCTTCTAATTGCATTGTAGATAAGGCCACACCCTTCATAGGAAGTGCTTTTGCAGTACAAATACATTTCTCAGTTACCCACAAAGCCAGTGCCATCTTTAACATCTCGTGTAGCAACAAACCCACATGGAAATGGAGTCTGAGATGGAACGAGGAGCCCAGAGCAAGCAGAATCTAATCAGTAAGATGATCTCACCTTTTTTACTCTAACCCTTTTGTCTTTGAACACTGGACTTTAACGTGTAATTTGCTGAGAGTATAATATAGTAATTGTCTTAACTACAGCTACAACAGGACTTGTGTGTTGAGGTCGATTGAGTTTGCATTGTTCAACTATGATCAGTTAGATTTGTCATTTGCATTAGTGTTTGATTAGCAAAGCAGTCAATTTTCCACACCGGTTCACAATTGTACCTGCATGAGGAAGAAAGAAATATACAGTACATATATGAAGTCAAATAGCTGTTTGTGTTATTTTTAGTATTCCTAGTCAGAAATTGTTCAGATCTTATCTGAACAGACAGGAAAGGTCAACTAAGCTTGAAGTTAATGGTGTTACATGCATACTGTATGTCGCAATATTTAACAGGATAGTAACTGCAAGACTATTTAAAGGAACCTCAAAAAGGCTATACTATACACAATTTTTAATGTATTTAATCCTTTTTTTTTTTTTTTTTACTAAAATCTTGATGCTGAATTCACAGAAAGTTCTGTATTTGTCAAATACTAATTTTAGACTTCAACATTTTGTGGTTTTAGAGTTGGCCCATTATCCTGATTTGAGTAATCACATCAGATTATAAATAACCTGAAGAGTTTATTATAGTTTCCTCTCTTAGGTTAATTGATTGCTCTGTACAACACAATAGTTTAGCACTTTTGACTGCATTATACAATAACCACTACAGTGAAACACCTGCGAACACATAAACACACGTTAATCTTTCTTTTAGAAGAGCATGATTGACAGGCCATAAGCATAAAATATGGCCTTGGTTTGAAATTGTTGGGTGTGTGTGGAAAAATTAGTGTAGCCTTATCTGTCACACTTAGGGGTTGTGGGCCAATGTTCACCACCCACCCACTCATAAAGCACCACCCAGAGCTGATTTATGATGAAGAGGGTCTCCCTGGTGACATATTTACCTGAGAGACTGTTGATCCAGTGAGGGGCCGATATTTAATTTTTGGTGTAAAGTGCTTCTATTCAGGGTTAAGGGTAAAAGATAAGATGTGGTTTACAGTTTGATTGTTAGTAAGGAGTAAGATGAGTCTTACTGATAAGTTCCTAGTTAGAAAGGGAATTTAGTTTCTTAGCAAACCAAACTATCTAAATGAATTGAATCATAATTTTAAGTTTATTGGTCAGTTGTTACACTATGACACTTTTTTTTGTTGGTCATCCAAAAATTAAGTGAAACTAGGATGTGGAAAGAATCTTGAAACTGCATGGTTCAGATTTTCCACAAGACAACTGCCTTAAGTAATATAACTTCCATGTGAAGCATCAAATCACATGCCACATGCATTGAATAAAACATGTAATTAGCACTGAGTTCTTTCACACAGCTCAACATTTTGACCTGTTTAACTTTTAGTCATGTGCTGTTTTTGAGAACGACACCGTTTTCTGTGGTTGCAGGTGAAAATAATGGAGGTCTGGGCTGCTGTGGGTGGATCCTTGTGATTATCTCTGCATTTTTCTCCATCTTGATATTTCCAATCAGCATTTTCATAAGCATTAAGGTGTGAACCGCAATAGGACAAACAAAACAAATAATCCTGTAAAATATTAATTACTATGCTGTCGGGGACCAGTGTTATTTTTGTATAATTTTAGTAGTTTTCATTACTATTTTGAATTCATTTTATTTTTATATTTATTATTTCCATTTATATTTTAAAGTTTATCATAGTTGTCATACAGACGACTGGTTTCTTAACTCTCATATCACACCATTGCCTTTCTTTTCAAATATTAAAATAAAATACATTTATTACAATTTGAACTCAAATCAATATTTGAGTATGGCCACTTATTCATTAATTTGATAACAAAACAATATAACTAAATACTTTAAAGTTGACTTTCTTTTAACTTTAAAGTTTACTTTCCTAGTAAGTCTTGCACTTTAACAACATCAATGCCTGAATGTTTTACACCAGCAGTTGTTGTTCAAATGTTTTATAACCCACTTAATATGTTTGATAACTGTTTTATAGATTGTGAAAGAGTATGAGCGTGCTGTCATATTTAGACTGGGGAGGATAACAGCCCGAAAAGCCAAAGGACCAGGTAATACTTAGATTCAGTAGGTTAAAGCTAAACAGATACTTAGGTAACACCACCTTTTGTCAAAGGCAAATCAATATTTGCATTAGACGTTTCTCGATGCACAGGTACCAATTGTTTACAACAGCTGAGGACATTCACAGAACTTGTTCTTAAAACAATAAATGTGGCCTACTAGCTCAGTTCCTGTACAAGGAGTCAGTTTAGTTCAAATAACGAATCAGTACTGTTTGACACAGATCATATAATAACAAATATAATTAAAAATGTTACTTGTGTCTAGGAATTTTCTTCATCATCCCCTGCACGGACTCGTTTGTTAAAGTGGATCTTCGAACCATCTCATTTGACATCCCTCCCCAGGAGGTAAACTAAAAAATAAATACTCAATAAACCAGAGGTTAATATCGAGTAACTTGCATTTAACACGTGAATAGTTCCAGCAAGCGAGGTCAACGCTGAATCAACTGCTGTTCTCCAAGCAATTTAGCGTTTCGTTCCTGAACAATCAGTGTTCTCGAACGAATAATTTCCGTGAATGATTAAATGACTCGGTCATGAAGACGGTCTTGTTTCCTTCTTGAATGAGTCTGTGTTTTTGAGTGAAATGTTTGAGGCTGAATTCGGAATAACATATTAAATAACCCTCTTACTATTTGTGCCACATAAATATATGGGAGAAATGGTAATGCTAGTAGAAACAGAATGCTAGTAACGTTATAGTATTCTATTTTGAATTCACCCTGAGTGAATGAATCGCGCGTGATGCACTATTCTATGACGTTTAATAGTATAAATGGTGCGAGTAGTGCGTTCACTGAAAATTCCAAAAAGAAAAAGTGCACTTTAAATACCCGGATGATGCACTTAAATAACGGAAAAAATGAAGTGTGGAATGTTGGACACTTCATGCACTCAATTGTCGCAGCTTTAATTAGGTATCGAAGGGGGAGGGGCTATGAGACTCCGATTATGAATGACAAACTAACCTTATATAATTCATACTATACATGGTTGAGTACATAGTGCATAAGTACATAGTGTATGAGTGCATAGTGTATAGTGCGTCATTTGGGACGCAGTTTATGACTCACTCATGAAGACTTCACTTTCGTTCCTGAATGAATCAGTGTTTTGAACGAATCGTTTCAGTAAATGATTCAACGACTCACTCATAAAGTCTCCTTACTGGTGTTTTTAAGCAAATCGTTTTAGTGATTCAACGATTCACTCAAAACACAAGTCATGTTTAGTTTAGTTTGTGAACGTGTCAATGTTTTTGAACGAATAGCATAAAGTACATGACCTTATGTAGGCCTTCTCATCAAGACAGTCACTTGTTTTGTTCCTGAAATATTGATTTTGTTTTTGTTTGCATTTAGATCTTGACCAAAGACTCAGTGACAGTTTCTGTGGATGGTGTTGTGTACTTCCGTGTAAATGACCCTGTTGCCTCAGTGGCAAACGTGTCTAATGCAGATTACTCCACTCGCCTACTGGCCCAGACCACCTTGAGGAACGTCCTGGGCACCAAGAACCTGTCTGAGGTCCTTTCTGACCGAGAAGTCATCTCCCAAAGCATGCAGGTGAGTGTGATAGTGAAAAAGACAGGTACATTTGGCATTCCTGCTTGTGCATCAATGATATAATTGCAGGTCAGATAGTAGCTGAAAATTTGTTCCATAACTCTTCTCCCTGCTGCAGATGACTCTAGATGAGGCCACAGATTCGTGGGGAATCAAGG